TAACTAGCAAGCCACCTTTTGTGTTTATTTCCTCTTTAATTCTTACACTTTCTGGACTCTCGATTTCTCTATTTCCTTGACCTGCCCTTATGGTAGTATCACACTGTCTTGATTGCTGTGGCTTTGTAGTGATAAAGGTTCTCCCTCACCAACATTAATCGGGCTCCTCTAGCCCCCTTTTTGAATTAAGCCTCAGTCTTGGCCTATAAGAACTGCACACTCTGGGCGGCACGTGGTGGCTTATGCCTGTAATCCCAGCACTTTGGGAGGCCAAGGCAAGTGGATCATCTGAGGTCAGGAGTTCGTGACCAGCTTGGCCAACATGGTGAAACCCGTCTCTACTAAAAAAAAAAATACAAAAAATAGCCAGTCGTGGTGGCATGTACCTGTAATCCCAGCTACTCAGGAGGCAGAGGCAGGAGAATCACTTGAAAAAAGGAGTTGGAGGTTGCAGTGAGCTGAGATCATGCCATTGGACTCCAGCCTGGGCAACAAAGTGAAACTCCATCTCAAAAAAAAACCAAAAACCAAAAAAAAAACCCTAAAACTGCAGCCTCTTAGAGAGGGTGAAAGGCAAAAATATAGTGAGAATAATAATAAATAAAAAATAAATAAATGATAAAAAATAAAATATAAATAAAAAAGAAGACTGTAGACTCTCAGCACAAATCATTTCATCCACATCCAACACTAAGAGACTCGAACAAACACTACCATCGTCTCTAACAGCTCATGGGCACATCCTTAGGATAATGACTTCAGCCCCCTTAAGTCTCTGCCTAATAAAATCCAATGCAACCCAAAGAATTTATAATTTGTTGCAGGCAAAACCTGAATATAGGCCCCTGAATCTCCTTTTCTTAAAGCATTTACTTTAGAAAACTGACAATTAGAAATTCTTTCTCTGTCTCTTTGAAATGTACCTTCTATAACACAGGAATGTTTTTCCCAAGGACCTGGGAGCCATCCCTTTGAAATGTAATTGTTAAGTAGGACAGAACCTCTGTCTCCCAATCTTGGTAGTAGGGTAGGCTCAGTCTTGGCCTATTGATAAGCACTAGTTTACAATCTGGTCAATGTGCTCATTGACCAAACCTCCCTCCCCTCAACTAGCATCCTTCAGTACTTTTCCCTTAACACACCCTAGCATTTTCTTTTTTGTCTTTTTTTTTTTTTTTTTCATTTTTGTAGAGAACAGGGGCTCGCTATATCGCCCAGGCAGGTCTCGAATTCCTGGGCTAAAACTATTCTCCCACCTCTCTGTCCCTAAGAGCTGGGATTACAGGCATGAGCCACATTCCCTGGGCCACAACCTAGCATTTAAAAAGCCTCCTGCTGGCAGGGCAAGGTGGCTCATGACTGCAATCCCAGCAGTTTGGGAGGCTAAGGCTGGTGGATCACGAGGTCAGGAGTTCAAGACCAGCCTGGCCAACATAGCAAAACCCTGTCTCTACTAAAAATACAAAAATTAGCTGGGCATGGTGGCAGGAGCCTGTAATCCCAGCTACGTGGGATGCTGAGGCAGGAGAATCACTTGAACCCAGGAGACAGAGGTTGCAGTGAGCTGAGATTGTGCCATTGTACTCCAGCCTGGGTGACAAGAGCAAGACTCTATCTCAAAAGGAAAAAAAAAGCTTCCTGCCTCTGGTTTGGTAGAATAGAACTCAGTTAATGCTAAAGTATCTCTCCTCTGCTACAGTAGTCTGAATAAAATCTGTCTTGACATTTTTGACAAGTGTCTGGTGCACAATTTTTCTTTAACAATAGTAGGTTTTGAAATTGGATAGTATAGAATTTTTTAACTTTGTTGTTTTTCAAAATATTTAGGCTAATAGATATAGCAATTAGGCTATTGAGTATGTTTGCATCTATATTCATGAGAGATATGGTTCTGTAATTTTTGTATCTTTTGGTGTGTTTGTCTAGCTTTGATATCAGGGTAACCCTGGCCTTATTGAAGGAGATAAAGAATGACATATCCTTTTTTATTTTCTGAAAGGTTTTTGTGAAAGACATATTATTTCTTTTCTTTTCTTTTCTTTTCTTTTTTTTGAGATGGAGTTTCACTCTTGTTGCCCAGGCTGGAATGCAACGGCATGATATCGGCCCATGCAACCTGCGCCTCCTGGTTTCAAGTGATTCTCCTGCCTCCCAAGTAGCTGGGATTACAGGTATGTACCACCAGACCCAGCTAATTTTGTATTTTTAGTAGAGATGGGGTTTCATCATGTTGGTCAGGCTGGGTTCAAACTCCTGACCTCAGGTGATCCACCCACCTCAGCCTCCAATTTGGCTATTTTTTTTTTTTTTTAATTTTGTAGAGACAAGTTCTCACTATGTTGTCCAGGCTGCTCTTGAATTCCTGGCCTCAAGCAATCCCTATACCTGGGTCTCCCAAAGTGCTGGGATTACAGGTATGAGCCACCGCACCTGGCCTAAAAATGTATTTTTTATACACATGTCTTTGTCAAAATTGGGATAAAGAGAAACATACGGGCAGTGGTATGCATTTGAAGAAAAATGGGAGAAAGCATATTTACTTAGGATGTTGTGGGAACTGAGGGACAGGAGAGACCCATGGACCAAACAGGAGGATTTTATTAAGGTGGTCACCGGCTCAGCGGATTAGCATCCCAGGGCTGAGCCCTGAACATAGACACGGCTTGACTTTTCTGCATGTGACCGAAGGGTGTTAGGCATTCAGTGGCCCCAAACTTGCAAGGCAGGAAAGGAGCTTACAGAGGCAGGACAAAGGCAGTTTATTAAGCCGTGACTGCTGTCGCAACTTAAGCAAGTTTTGTGACCTTAAGTATACATTCCAGGTGGGAAAACAGGAAGTTACAGAACTTTTACTGCCTTTGCAAATAGTTACTCCACAGAAAAAGAACAGGCCTGGGAAATAGAGGGTACTTATTAAACTTGTTCTTATCCCTGTTCTCGGGGAGACTCTGGAGCCCGTACTTTGAAGGCTCTGGTTCCTAAAGCTGTACTAAATCACGAGGCTGGTTAACACCTATTGGAATTTCTTGGTGCAAAGGTGGGGGAGGAGTCTGAACACATTGTCAAGGGAGGAGGAAGGGGAAGGAGAAGGCTGTGGGATCCCCTGCAGAAAGGCCCCATTCTGGTGGCAGCCCCCGCCTGCTGCTCCAGGGCTCAAAGGTGCTTAGATCTCTTCACCTGAGTGCAGTTGCTGCCGGCCCTTTGGGCAGGTGTGTGAGGGAGGCATCCCCAGCTGTAAAGAGAGCACTGGCTTTTGGATCAATCGGCCTATTATATAACTGAACTGGGGTCTGCTTGCCCAGTGCAGTTAAGGTCAGATATCCACACCGAGGTTGCCGCACTAGTAAGGAAGGTGTTTATTCACAGAAGCAAGTGGGACCAGGCAGCTCAGCTCAAATGCTTACCTCACTCATGGCTGGCAGGTGTGAATCCTGAAAATTTGAGACAGATGTCAGTTAATTTAGAAAGTTTATTTGCCAAGGTTGAGGACATCTGCCCAATGACACACCCTCAGGAGGTTCTGAAGAACTGCCCAAGGTGGTCAGAGGACAGCGGGAGTTTTTTACCTTTTAGGGAGACACAAGCCATCAATCAACATATGTAAAATGAACAGTGGTTAGGTCTGGAAAGACGGGACAACTTGAAGTGGGCAGTGGGCTTCCAGATCACAGATAGGTAAGAGACAAACGGTTGTATTCTTTTGAGTTTCTGATTAGCCTTTCCAAAGGAGGCAATCGGATCAGCATTTATCTCAGGGAACAGAAGGACGACTTACATAGAATGGGAGGCAGGTTTGCCCTAAGCAGTTCCCAGCTTGATTTTCCCTTTAGCTTAGTGATTTGGGAGTCAGAGGGCAAGACAGTTTCCTTTCACACAGGTAAGGGTTTTTAAAGGCAGGGGTAAATTTTCAGGAAAGCAGAAGTTAGACAAAAGTGTAAATCAGTACATATAAGGAAGGAGACCCAGGCGTCTAGGATCACCTCCCCCTTGACTTCCACACTACAGTTCAATGGAATGAAAGGCTGGCCGACCGGTGCCTCCGGAATCACCTTCCTGTAAATGGCACACTTGGTATTGGGAGAACTCCCCAGAAGACACTGTTTTTACTTAAACAAGATCAAACCCCCATCCCACTCCTCCCTCTGGAGACCAGAACCTTTTCACATGTGATTCCTAAAACTGTAAACCCGAAAACCCTTTCACTCAATTTCTTTCTTTCTTTCTTCCTTCCTTCCTTCCTTCCTTCCTTTCTTTCTTTCTTTCTTTCTTTCTTTCTTTCTTTCTTTCTTTCTTTCTTTCTTTCTTTCTTTCTTTCTTTCTTTCTTTCTCTTTCTTTCTTTTTCTCTCTCTTTCCTTCCTTCCTTCCTTCCTTTCTTCCTTCTTTCCTTTCTTTCTTTCTTTCCTTTTGAGACAGAGTCTCACTCTCTTGCCAGGCACCAGGCTGGAGTGCAGATCTCGGCTCGCTGCAACCTCCACCTACCAGGTTCAAGCAATTCTCCTGCCTCAGCCTCTCAAGTAGCTGGGTGCCACCACACCCAGCTAATTTTTATATTTTTGTAGAGATGGGGTTTCACTATGTTGGCCAGGATGGTCTCAATCTCTTGACATCATGGTCTGTCCACCTTGGCCTCCCAAAGTGCTGGGATTACAGGTGTGAGCCACTGCACCTGGCCTCACTTGTAATTTCTAAGGCTGTAAACCTAAGATTCTTTCATGCGTAATATCTAGAGTGTAAGCCTATATAAAGGCAGAACCTCTCTTTTTTAGACGAGCTGGGTTACTTAGACAAATTATCACCTGGCACGCAGCTGTAATAATAATAATAATAATAATAAACCTCTTCCTTCACAGTTCGATATTCGAGAGGTCTGTTTCTCATGGCCGCTCCTGCTACATTTTGGTTCCCTGACTGGGAATCAAGTTTTGGCTGGCAGATGGCCAGAAAAAGCCTCTCAGGTGGTTTGTCTAGCCTCTCAGGTGGTTTGTCCACCCTGCGGGGGTGTCCCACCAACTGGGGCGATGCAGGTCCTGAGAGTGCATCTGGACAGGTATTTGCCCGGTGGAAAGCCTCACTGGAGTGGAGCGGGAAAGCTCTCGCAGTGTGGATTCACCCAGTGGCTGAACACTGAGAAGGAATGGGTACTTGGAACGGCCAGACAACAGAAACATGGTAGGATTGGTCCTGGGAAACGTGCCCACTCCTTTAGGTGGAAACGTGGCCTGATCACCCACATGTGCCCGATTTGGCACTTTTTTTTTTTTTTGAGTTGGAGTTTCACTCTTGTTACCCAGGCTGGAGTGCAATGGCGCGATCTCGGCTCACCGCAACCTCCGCCTCCTAGGTTCAGGCATTTCTCCTGCCTCAACCTCCTGAGTAGCTGGGATTACAGGCACGCGCCACCATGCCCAGATAATTTTTTGTATTTTTAGTAGAGACGGGGTTTTACCATGTTGACCAGAATGGTCTCGATCTCTTGACCTCGTGATCCACCCGCCTCGGCCTCCCAAAGTGCTGGGATTACAGGCTTGAGCCACCGCGCCAGCCCGATTTGGCACTTTTAAACTCTCTCTCTCTCTCTCTCTCTCTCTCTCTCTCTCTCTCTCCCTTTGTAACTAACCTTGGAAGGTTTTTGCTTATGGTTTTGATTTGGGTGGAGGGAGGAGAGCGATCGTGTGTGTGTGTGTGTGTGTGTGTGTGTGTGTGTGTGTGTGTGTAGAGGGGTCCAACTGGACTCATCAGTCATGAAAGGTGGGAGTATCAGGCCCATTAGAAGGGGCCTCATGTGACGAGCAATTCGTAGGGCTAGTTGGAATTAGAGATGGCCGCAGAAGGCTGAGTGGAGAAGACTTTGCCATCTGGGTGTTGTGAAAGGATTGACGTGCATGTAAATTGGAGAGTGTATACTTCGTCTTGCTGGGAGGGAACTGCTGTGGGTAGAGTAACACTCTCTTAACTGTGGGAATTGTTTCTTTGGAGCACAGGCATGGGTCACTCTCATAGCAAGCCCACCGCTTTAGAGACGATGCTGAAAAATTTCAAGAAGGGATTTAGTGGGAATTATAGAGTAACTATGACAACAGAGAAATTAAGGAATTTATGTAAGGTAGATTGGCCAGCATTTGGGGTAGGTTGGCCCCCAGAGGGGACCCTCGATAGGTCTCTTGTCTCCAAAGTAAGGCATGAGGTTATATGCAGCAAGCTAGAACACCTTGATTAATATCCATACATAGACTCATGGTTGCAGTTAGTTTTGGACCTTCCGAAGTGGCTAAGAGGACAGGCAGCAACTGTTTTAGTGGCCAAGGGACAGACTGCTAGAAACCACCACCCATCTCACCACCGCAGAGAAACGCGGACTCTCAAGGTCTGGGTAGATTCAGTGGCAGGAACAGCGACTCCCAAGGTTCTGGCAGATCCAGCAGCAGAAGAGTTTTTGCCAATAATGCCCCCTCCTCCTCAAGGACTCCCTGCCCCTGGGCTGGAAGCCTCGGCACCCCACCAGAGCTGCACACACCTAAACCACCCAGAGTGGTCTAAAAGAGAGTGTGGGAAAACTCCTCCCATTGCTGCCCGTTTCCCAGAAGGAACTCCCCCTCTGGCAGCCCGTCTGCAATCCAAAGCCAGGGTGCAGATGCCTTTAAGAAAGCAGAGGTACACGGGAGTGGATGAGGACAGCCACATCGTAGAAAGGTGTGTTTTCACGTACCTGCCGTTCACCTCAGCTCATCTTATCAACTGGAAAAATAACAACCCGTCTTATACCGAGACGCCACAGCTCTCATTGACCTACTAAAAAACTATTATTCAGACTCATCACCCCACTTGGGCTGAGTGCTACCCACAGCTTGTGTATCTTTTTAACACAGATGACAGGCAGAGAATACTCCAAGCTGCTTCTAATTGGCTGGAGGAGCATGTTCCTGCAGATTACTGGAAGCCCCAAGAATATGTCAGGGTCGAGTTACCGGTAACTGACCCCCAGTGGGATCCAAACACCCCAGAGGGCATGCAGAGGCTAATCTGGTACAGAGAAGCCTTGCCGGAAAGGTTTAAAAAGGGAGCCCAGAAAGTTACAAACATTAATAAAGTCTCCGAGGTTATTCAAGGAAAAGAGGAATGCCCCACCCAATTTTATAAAAGACGATGTGAAGCTTACTGCATGTACACTCTTTTTGATCCTGAGAGCACCAAAAACCAACGAATGATAAATATGACATTAGTCAGTCAGTGTGCAGAAGACATTAGATGAAAATTGCAGAAACAAGAAGGTTTTACAGGCATGAATACTTCACAGTCATTGGAAATAGCTAAGCAGGTGTTTGTAAATCGAGAAGCAGTGAGCCGTAGAGAAAGCAAGTGCCAAGCTCGATGAAATGCCAACTTGATAGCTGCCATTATTAAAAGAGTGCCCCCAAGAGGGCAGGAAAAGGGGGGTTCCTGGAAAGCCTCTCAGTCTGCCCACCGGCGCCTACAATGCAATCAATGAGCATATTGTAGAGAAGTAGGACATTGGAAAGACCGGTGCCCCCAGCTAACGGAAAAACAGAGAGACCCTGAGCACGAGGCTTCAGACAAAAGTGAAAGGGCTCTGTTCAATCTAATGGAAGGACCACTGGAGTGAAGGGGACCAGGCTCCATTGCCCCCAAGGAGCCTATGGTCAGAATGAGAGTAGGGGGCAAGGCCATTGACTTCCTCATCAACACAGGTGCTGAATATTCAGTGGTAACCATCCCTGTGGCCCCCCCCGTCGAAGAAGACAACCGATATTGTTGGAGCTACTGGGTTGTCGGAAAAACCATCTTTCTTTTTGCCTCATACTTGTGAGGTGGGGGGGACATGAGGTAATTCACCAGTTCTTGTACATGCCTGATTGCCCTTTGCCCCTGCTAGGAAGGGATCTGTTCAGTAAGTTACGGGAGACCCTAACCTTCACTGAGAATGGCATTTTACAGCTGGCCTTACCTAAAACTTGGGTCATAATGGTCCTCAGGGTGCCTCGTGAGGAAGAGTGGAGACTTCTTAACTGAACCAGACCAGGAAATAAAGCTGCATTAGCAAAACGATTGCCTAAGGTCTGGGCAGAGAAGACTGGCAATTAACCAGACCCCTGTGCTCATTGAAGTCAAGCCTGGGGCTCAGCCAGTTAGACAAAAGCAATATCTAGTTTTCCGTGAGGCCCTAGAAGGCATTCAGGTCCATCTAAAGCACCTAAAGGACTGTGAAATTATAGTTCCTTGCCAGTCTCCATGGAACATTCCCCTCTTGCCTGTTCTCAAACCAGGGACCAAAGACTACAGGCCAGTGCAGGACTTGTGCCTGGCTAATCAAGCCTCAGTGACTGCACCCAACTGTGCCTAACCCATGCGTGCACTGCTGGTATTATTGCCAGCAGAGGATAGTTGGTTCACCTGCTTGAACTTAAAGGATGCTTTCTTTAGCATCAGGCTGGCTTTTGAAAATCAGAAACTATTTGCTTTTCAATGGGAAAATCCAGAAACAGGGTGTGACCACCCAGTACACCTGGACCTGGCTCCCCCAGGGGTTCAAGAACTCTCCCACCATCTTTGGGGAGGCATTAGCCTGTGACATCCAAAAGTTTCCAGCTAAAGACTTAGTCTGTGTCCTGCTTCAATATGCTGATGACCTTTTATTGGGACACTCCATGGCAGTTGGGCGCGCAAAATGAATAGATGTCTTACCTGGAGGACTGTGGGTATAAAGTGTCTTTAAAAAAAAGCCCAGATTTGTCCACAGCAAGTGCTAATCTGGGGTTTACCAACCGGAAGGGGGGACACAGCCTAGGAACAGAGAGGAAGCAAGTACTTTGCAACCTGCCAGAACCCGAGACTAGAAGGCAGGTGAGGGAGTTCCTGGCAGCCTTGGGTTTCTGTAGATTGTGGATTCCGAGCTTCGCAGTACTGGCCAAACACCTATATGATGTGACAAAGGAGGAAGACAAGGATCCCTTTGAATGGAGATCCCAGCAGCGTCAGGCCTATCAGGAACTGAAAATGAAACTTATGTCAGCTCCGGCTTTGGGGCTGCCTGATTTAACAAAGCCCTTCACATTATATGTGACAGAAAGAGAAAAAGTGGCAGTTGGGGTCCTAACCCAAACAGTGGGACCTTGGCCCAGGCCTGTAGCTTACCTCTCCAAGCAGCTGGATAGAATTTCCAAAGGATGGCATCCATGCTTAAGGGCTCTGGCAGCAACTGCTCTGCTAGCACAAGAAGCTGATAAGCTAACTCTGGGGCAGAACTTAAATATCAAGGCACCCCATGCAGTAGTGACTCTAATGAATACCAAAAGGCATCATTGGTTAATAAATGCTAGGCTGACCAAATACCAGAGCCTGCTATGTAAAAACCTCCATCATCATTGCGGTCTGCAACACTTTAAACCCCTCCAACTTTGCTCCCAATGTCCGAGGGCCCAATTGAACACAAGTGTTGAAGTCCTGGATACAGTCTATTCCAGTAGGCCTGATCTTCGGGGTCAGCCATGGACAGTAGTAGACTGAGAGTTGTATGGGGATGGGGGCAGTTTTGTTAATCCACAAGGGGAAAGGTGTACAGGCTATGCTGTGGTAACTCTGGACACTGTAATTGAGGCCAAGTCACTGCCTCAGGGTACCTCAGCTCAGAAGGCTGAACTCATTGCTCTGACTCAAGCCCTAGAGCTGAGTAAAGATAAGGTTGTAAACATTTACACTGATTCTCAACATGCCTTTCTGACTCTCCAAGTACATGGAGCACTGTACAAAGAAAAAGTCCTGTTAACTTCAGGGGGAAAAGAAAGTATCAACATGAAATTTTGCAGTTGCTAGAAGCAGTCTGGATGCTGTGGAAGGTGGTGGTCATGCATTGCCGAGGACATCAGCGGGCCCACACCTCCGTGGCCCTGGGAAATTCCCGAGCTGATTCAGCAGCTAGTAAGGCAGCATCTGCTCCCTACTGAGCAGCAGTTATAGCCCCGCTGATTCCCCAGATCCCTGACTTGGTGCCTACTTACTCTAAGGAGGAAAAAGACTTTCTCCAGACAGAGTGAGGGCAACTGATTAAAGAGGGATGGATCTGGTTGCCTGATGGAAGAATAGCAGCACCACAGCTATTGGGACAGCGGTTATACAAGCTGTACATGAAACCACTCATTTAGGTCAAGATTCAC